CCCCAAAACCCCAAAACCCCAAAACCCCTAAGTTTATTAAGAGTATTGAAGATCTGTACAATTTTATTATGGATATGTTTTAAATAAATATGACAAAGACTATCTTGAGCCTGCTTCGGATACTAGAAGTGGGCTTTCTGGCACTGCTTTTCATATACATGCCTAGAGTTTTCTCCTTAAAATCTTTGATGGGAGAAAACTTCATGGTTGATATAAATTCATGAAACTACTCTACTGGGAGGGAGAGGTTTAGGTTAGTTCAGATTTTAGAGTTATATCACAATTTGGTTTAAATAGTTTAGGACCTAGGTATTAGTAAATTTGAAATGAAGCCCAATAGAAGGTTAATAAAGTTTAGTGATTGAGGTAGTAGGATAATAGAGATTAGAAGAAGAGAGGAGATGCTTGGCTTTGTTTAGAGTTTAATGCATATTTTAGGAAGAGGTGAGGGAAAAAGTTGTGTAGAAGCATTGTAACACCAGTTATGACAATGAAGGGCCAATATGTCCTAAATTTTGGATTAGTAATGATGAGAAAGAAGTTATAGAGATGGAAATAAAATTTGAAGTACTCAACTACCTTTGTAACAATATGTTTAGGTATTTCATAACATTAACGAAGTTATTACACCTATTGCTATTTATTCATAAAGTTATAATGAGTTCAAAGAGCAAACCCTGAACTTTACAACTTATTTTACTCTAAATTTGCTTTCAGAATTAGCGAAAATAAAGCAGGATTATTAAATTTTAAAAGTAAATTTATAAAATTTCAAAAATTTCTGCATTCTTTGGTGAAACACATAACCTAGTGGTTCGATCAAAAAGCCAAGGTTTTATTATTTTGTCCAGAATTTATCTGGCAAATTACTCTGAAACCTTTCAACTATACATGAAATGATCAAACAATGATTATTTGTAATGGAAATATACAGTTTTGATTTCGAATTCTTTTTAAAATCAACTAAGACATTAAGCCATTAAGAAGGATCCATTCCTTCTAGTTTTATATGTCTGAGTGATGGGAGTTCATCGGATATACTTTTGGAATCTTCCTTGGAGACTTTATTGCTCCCAGAATCCTTCAACATCTTCTTTTCCCTTATCCTAGCTGCATACTTAAGAAGAGCGCTGATTTCTTGTTTTAAGGAAAAATTGCTTTTCTTCTCTTTAACCTTTGAAATGGGCTGACTCTTAGTTTTACAATTATTAGAATCACCAATTTCATTCAGTTTTAACTCTAAGGAAGGTGATCCTCCGTCTCAATCAGGAAATTTAAGTATTGTACTACTTTTCTCCAAGGAGTTATTTCTTTTCTTCTTACTACTGAGTGAGTTCTTACTCATATTAAGGAGGATCTTCTCTGATCTCCTAATTGATCACGATGATACCTCTTCATTCAGCAAGTCTTCAGACAAGTTCTCGTCAAACTCTATTTTGGGAAGAGCGTCCATAATTAATTATTATTGAATAATATTTTAAGATACTTTAATACTCTCACGGGGTTTTGGGGTTTTGGGGTTTTGGGGTTTTGGGG